AGAGAAATGTATAAACAGCTGTGAGAAATAATGGTTGAAAACAGAAAGAAACAACTGGAAATTAGAAGTAAAGAGATGGTTAGTAGAGATATCTGGAGATAAAAAAACATGTGGCTAAGCAAGCAAAGTAAATGGAACTGGGAAAGAAAACCTGATGATTTCCTGAATAGAGTTGGAGAAACGCAAAGAGAAGATGGGACTGAAGGTGGAGGTAAGGGAAATATATGGAAAGTTAAAAAAACAATGTATATGAGGCAAAAATATATATGTGGGAAGAGAACCTACAGGTGGTTAAAAACAGAAGGATGGCTGAGGGGAAGGGATGTATATATAAAAGATGATGTGATTGTAGAAAAATACAGATGAGGCTGGAAGAAGTGGTAAAAGAGAAGAGGAAAAAATGTGAATAAAACAGTTAAGATTGGGACCTAGAAGATGATAATGATAGATTAGAAAGAATGGATATAGGACGCGGAAAATGAAGAAATGGTACAAAAAAAGAAGCGGACATCTCGGAGGAAATGAGAGGAAGAAGGCGAGGAAAAAATAGCGGTAGTATGAGGAATTAAAGACATTAGAAATGGCGGAGATTGTAATGGGAATAAAATCATTGACAAAAAAGACAGGACATGATGTTGGAATCCCAGAGGAAGGTTGGTGTTCGGTGGTTGCAGTATTCGCTCACTGCCCCATATATTCTTTCGGATTTTGTTGATGAATAAATCACTTTGTTTTGGTTGTTGTTTATTTATATACAATATAGTACACTATGTACACTTATTAACTATTTGATTGTATTTGAATATTGTTGGTTTATAATTGAATACTTGTTGATTGATTTGAATTGATAGATGAATGCTGAATTTTGAATGTCGATTAGATTGAATGTTGAATATCGAATGTTGAAAATTTGAATTGTTGTTGTTTAAATAACGTTGACACAAAATAGGCAACGCCTATCGTGCACATTACCCCTTCGCCGTCACTACGCACCCCTCCGGTATCTTCGGTACATTCCGAAGTGATGACGTAGCTACGGACTTGGGTTTTCCATTGATTACTGATATTGTGAGACCTACCTGGTCCGATCTCTTTGTTAAATTACTGAGTTACCTATACTAAGAAAAATAATATTTACCTATACTTACACAAATAAATGCCTTAAAATTGAATACAACTAGAATAACATACAACATATTGACTACCTGAAAAACACGAACAAAATTGAATATTTACAAAAATTATAAACACTAACAAAATTGAATATATATATGTACAAATATTAATTGAAGCCGCAACAGTTGGATACTAGCTTTTACTCGCGGTTTTGCTCGCATTGATGTCTTAAATACGTGTCAAAGATCGTCGATGACCACAAAATTAATTTTTCTATCCCTAAGGAACAGTATTTATTTCTGAATAGAAGGTATCCTGTGTCATTTTCTGTAACCATGATAATGTGTGTACAAAATTGCAAGTTGATCGGCTGAATATTAGTTAAAGCTTGAAATGGTAAAAAACAAACAGTCACAATTGCATTTATAATATTAGTTAGGATTAGAGAATCCCCAATAGGTTTATTTATTAGATATACAGGACGGACCTAATCATACAAAAGTCACTACGTATACATAGGTACATAGATATCTAATAGTACCTCATCATCATCATAAGGTCGTCAGTCCTAAGACTGGTTGGACACGCACCTCCACTCTTTTCTATCCTGAGCTAAACTTCGCGTTTCCCTAAAACTAGATCAGCCGACATCCTTAACTATTTCATGCTTGAGAAGTTGTCCTACCAATCTATCTCGCCTATTTTTTATTGACTTCCATAGAGTCCTCTGTTCTCCTATTCTTCCTAATAGCTCTTCATTTCTAACCTTTTCTACCCACGTTATCCTCATTATCCGCCCATAACACCATATTTCGAAGGCTTCTAACCTCTTCTATCCACGTTATCCTCATCATCCGCCTATAACACCACATTTCGAACGCTTCTAACCTATTCTTTTCCGCCGCGCCCACTGTCCATGTTTCGCACCCATCCAAGCCGCGCTCCAAACATACAACTTTAACAATCTTTTTCGAATTTCTAAATTATCCGTTCGCGAGCATAGAAGTGACTTGTTTGTATTAAAGGCGACACGACCCTGCGCTATCCTCTGCTTTATATCCCTACTACTCCTTCCATCCTCACTTATCTTCCTAGATATCTAACATCAGCCGCTTCTTCTAATTTTTCGTCTCCTATCTTTATATTCACTCTTTCCCTACTTTTTCTTCCCTTGCATACCAGTATTTTAGTTTTACTTTTATTTATTTTCATACAGTACTGATCTGTTAGTACCGCTTCCGTTTTATTTGAAGCTATCTCTATTAGGTCCTCCTTGATAGATGCTAATAATAGTACCTACTATTAAATAAAACCAATAACTGCAAATATATACAAAAAAATTGTCGTAAGATTAGTCCGAGATCATTCTACCGTATTCCTTTTTAAATATTGTGTGCCTGTACGTTATTATTTACGAGACAATGAGTCTAATAGTCTTTGATCTGCTATTGACAAACTGTTCCAAACGACAATTTGAGATATTGTGACGATGGGGCATTGCGCGAACTTTTAAAAACAATGATCGGAGATCGTTTGTCGGCATCACCGAAAGGGTGCCAACAATGGACGTCGGTTTAAAAGAAAACAAAAACGAATATGCTTGCAACGTTGCACTATTTACTCGTTACAGTTTTAAATTAACTTCCAAAGAGGCACTTACTGCCAATGATGTATGCATGGTCGTATATATGTATTGGTTTTCAAAGGGTACAATATGGAGCGTGCCAGGATGTTATGTCCTATTTTGCATATGGTGGTGTGTGTGCTTGATCTAAAAAGGTGTTATGCTGCAGCTGATCCTAAAAGTAGACATTTCACGTGTTTTGTGTGTATTTTAATTAAAGGACCCATTAGATCTTTACGGAAAATGGTCGTCTGTAAAACTGTTCCAATCTTTGGATTTTGGTAGTTCGCGACGGTGGATCAAAAGTCTCAATGGGCTCTAAATCATAAAAACTCATCTTCTTAAGATATGGTTCCTTAAAGTTGCATTCTTCCGTAAGGACTTCCGAGGTACAATTTCACCTATTATGCGTGTTGAGTAGGTTTAAGTACATTATGCATATGGTGATGTAATAGAGGATGTTTGTGAATTAAGTGATAAGCTTTAGAGGGTGTTAACTAGATGTAATAAGGAATCGCATGGTCAGTAAAGCAGCATGATTAAGGGACAAGAAAGGTGTAAGAAAGCTAGAAGAAGGTAAGATCCCGAAGACGGTCCTGGGCGAGAACGGTAACACAGGTGTTCGTGGAGCGAGTTACGACAACAACTAATCTATACATTGATAAAAAACGTAAACAGTGTCGCTTCTGGAACGAATAGTAACGTAACTTTCTTCATCGCTGTTAGTATGTAGCACTATTTAAAATGCATGTCAAAATGGTATTAAGAACTCAAAAGAAAGACGAAATTAAGGTTACGAAAACCTTAACAGGTAAATTAATGTCTTGTGAATAGACAGTTGTAATTTTATTAATTGTGAGGTAAATTTCCAAAACAATTTTGAGATATTGCCGATATGTTTTACCTATTTTTTATGGATGGTTTGTCAATAGCCCTATCCTCCTGTAAAAAAAAAATTAATTCCAACAGCGTAAAACACACACGTACGTACGTGCGTACACTCCAAAAATTGTTTGGAATTCTAACCCCGTGCTAAAGGACAAGCGTCTATCAAAATTATTGTCGGTTTCTTTAAATCTCTGCACCGCATTTAAGACGATTTGTCGTTGAGGAAGTCTTCACTGCTACTTTCTTTTAGAAACACCTTGTATACAAATGTGTATTGCACATTTTGGATGTGTGGTTTTGGGACCAAGGATAGTAATGCGTTCTGCAAAAGTATATCACACGCGTCAACGTCATAATGTATGGAGAAAGTTGGTGTACTGAGATGTGTAATCAGACACCAACACAGTGTTTATAGGTTCATATACATTTTTTTGCGAATAACTGAACTCCAATGCATTACCAAGCAATTTTATAGTCGAAAGACACCAACTTTTCCCCATAAGTACACTATGATGTTGAGGTGTACTATACTTTCTCAGAGTGAATTACTATCCATGGTCCGAAACCATTATACATTCATACTGTGCAATACAGATAGGTATAATTTATCAACATATGAATATATGTATATACACTTTTCAATACGTATACTAGGTGCAATTGCACCTTGAAAGTTCTCATGGAAGAATACGACTTTAATATCTCAAAAAAATAAGTTTTTATGACTTAGCGCCCATTGAGACTTTTGATATAATCGAAAACTACGGGACAGACAGAGGGTTATTTTCTGTAAAGATCAAGCGGGGTTCCTAGGATGCAAGGGCAGATTTCACGAAAATGCTTAATTCGGAGTTTAATTGATGGAAGACGGAGCATTCTTAAGCGAAGATGACATGATTGAAAAGTTAAATTCGCCTTGACAGTAAGAAATAGCGAAAAAATTGAAAAGTTGAACATTTTGAATAATTTTGCAATTCTCGATGGCTATGCCAAAACTTGATGTCATAAAATGATAAATGAAAAAAATGAAATAAATTAAGTCATCTTGAAGAACTACTTATATAATTAATTTTCCAAATACCTACTTGAAATTTAACTACTTGATTCGAACTTAATTTGATTTCAAGCCAAGATAAGTCAAGTAGCTTGAAAATAAAGTCAAGTTATGAATCCCTAGAAACTGGCGTTTAGAGAACAATTGATTTGTAATTGTTTCGTGGTGTTCAAAAATATGTTTCTATAAAAAGAATAATTTGATACATTGAAACGATGTATCTATTGCGCTTATTAAATTATACACTTGAAGACATCTCTATATCTTCTTCGATTTTTATGAATTTACGTAACTAATTTATATTTTCTTTTGTTACAGTTCAATACAAAAAATTATTATATCGAATTTACCTCCAAACGTACGATTTGAAGACATAAAGGAACTTCTTCTCCAGCATGGCGAGGTAGTCAGTTGTGATAAACTTCAGTCTAGGGACCCCAACACACAGACTGTTCAAGTAATATACGAAAATGCCGAACAAGCACAGCGGTAAGTTATTATTATATTACTTATGACTGTCGTTTTCAGTATTACTGTGTGATAATTCGACAATGTTAGCTGAAACCATAGCGGTAGAGTACAGTGGTTCTAGGAAATTATGGGGTACATTACATGGTTATTCTATACTAGAGGTTCTTGATCTTTTTATTGATCGGTACCTTCACGAGTCTTGAAATCCCGTTAAAGAGTAGATATATTTATTTCTATTTGAGAAATTATATCTATTGTCATATAATTTTGTTAAACATTTATTGAAACCATCAAATGTGAATCGTGATTTCGAGCTAATAATATGAGTCCTCTCTCACATTAATGGACTTATGGCAGTTACTTTAAAACCATAATTATTGGATTTAGTATATAATAAAGAAAAATATTTATCAGAATATTTAAGTATTTGATTTTATTTTATAGAAATAAAAGTGAACTGAAGACTGTCGTAAACAAAATCAATGTGTCGTTAATCTTACGTGATGTGATTGTGAACCCTCGATATATGAAGACAGTTCATGATCATTATAGGGGGTGCTGTTATCTTTTATCATTTTAAGCCTGGCAAATTACTTTTGGGTAAAAGTATCTTATTTAAAAATCAAGTTTATAAACAAATAGCCAAAAATAACGTTAAATAATAAAAAAATATAGTTTTAATGATTGGATATGATAGAAGTACACTTTCTACATATTCTCTGTGAGCAGAGATCCTAATGAACTAATAATTAACATTTGATAACATTGCGAAATTAATAAATTTTTAATATTAACAAATTAATTGTTGGTCACCTATTTATTTGATCGTAATAAAATCTTAGCAGAGTTAATAACTATAAATACAGCTGCTTTTCCCATAATTTCAATGCAACAGTAACATTATAGTGGACACGAAAGGAATTACTTTTTCTAGATAAATCTTCGTTTAATTTATCACTTTACTCTAATCGACTAGGTGATTCTAAACAACTTACTCATTTATTATTTTTCGATTAAATCATTATAAAAATATTTATATAAGATAAATGAAAGAAAAGAAAGTTTATTAATGGTTTACCTAATTTTTGCTAATTTACATGCAAAAATCAAGTCTAGTCCAAACTTTTTAAAAAAATTGCGAGTTTTCAGCTAATTCGCCTGAACCATTTTAATTAAATATTACCACAAAAGTCCCTATGCTATGTTGCCATTTTAGGTAACTGTGTGGAGTAGTATATGTTTTCATTATAGCACTGCTTTTTGATGCGCCTAGGCGGAATTGAAAGTGGAGATTTCTTCGATTTGACTTCGGCACAAATATTAAACAACTTATAACCTGTGTTTCTGTAGCTAAATTACAATTTTTATCATTAAGTGAGTCATTATCCGAGGATAGTTATTTGATTCCATTTTTGAATAGAAAACGAACTGGGAAGGATTGAATAAGTCAGGAATGGCTCCTTTTTTGTTTTTTACTTTTGTTATTCTCAATAAGAATATACAATGCGTCGCAGATACATACGTAGATAGGTACTCGATTTAAACCATTGTTCCCATGAGTTTCTATTATTTTCAATTGATTATTCATCTTTTTAAATGAAGTAAACTGCATCAAAGGTAATTTCATATTACATATATTGTAGTAGTTTATATATAGAATGTCAATTTTTCGATAACATTTTGCTTTACAATGTTACCTATATTCCTATATTATGCACTTTTGTACCATACGCTGTTGATAAGCAATCCCTTTTATAATGTTAGATAAAGAAGATATCTCGTTTTATTGTTGGACGTATTTGTATACAAGCATTAAAAAGCCTATTTCATAACACTGCACTTATATTGTACTAAATTAGTAATGTACTATTATAGTCAGGGTTGGAAAAAAAAACAGGTTTTTGTTAAATTTGTGAAACAACCAGTCCAAAATCTTTGAAGCATGTGTTCATGTGATTTAAACATTTGTTTTACGTTTATTTTGAACACATGTTTTAAACATTTTAAACTTGATTTAAACAAGTTATTTATCGTGGACTGCTGACGTCATTAACTAATATTGCAACTAATACCAATTAATTAATAACTAACTGTATTTTAAACACTATTGTTTTAAACATGCCAACCCTTCTTCAAAGAAAATAAAGCCGTATTTATACTTAATGAATTTTTTATCAAATTACTCAAAAATATTTAGCAGCAGTTCAAAGCAATGGGCTGTTGAATGTACTGTTTTAATGTACAATTTGTCTAGAAAAATATACAATATTTAATTTTTTTCTGGAATAATTTCTTCGGTTTTATTATTGAGAAAATTGTCATGTGAAGCAAATGTAGATCGAAATCCACACTTCTACAGTTTTTATCTGTCTGTGTGTTCAGGAAAAATTAAAGTATTAATTAGTTGATATATTTAAAAAAAAAAAAACTATTTATAAAATACACTGTTTAAGGCCCATTCTGTAATTAGAATATTAAGTTAGGTCAGAAGCTTAAGAGCTTTTCATAATAACAAAATTCAAGAGACTGAGTTTCATTTGTTATAGATTTTTTGTTACTTATGGGGTAAAAAAAGTATACTTTTCAAGGGCGACATTCAAATTAAACACAAAGCGTAATAAATACGTAATTATCTAAATCTAAGGTTTGCTTATCAAAAAACTTTTCAAAAGTTCTGACTGAAATTCAAAATGATTTTTATCTTTTCACTTTTGAGTCGTGGATTTTTTTAAATTTTTCCCTGTTTCGTACTCATAATTTTCCAGATCTTTTAATCTTAATGCTTCATCATCATCATAAGGTCGTCAGTCCTAAGACTGATTGGACACGCATCTCCACTCTTTCCCATCCTGGGCTAATCTTCAAATTTCTCTAAAACTATTACTACATTCTACATCTTTAACTACATGTTAATAGTAATCTAATCTGATATGAATAACGGATAGGTACATCCCTAATTGATAAAATTTGAAATTTCTTCATATAGTATTTTGAAATGACGAAGTCGTAGGTTAATTTTTATTGACTCTATTTTTCAATCAACTTAGAAACAATCGAGTTTTCGCAAAAATGCAGGAGGGTTTTTCGGTACAACTCCACAACTGCGGCCAAAACTTAAAAAAGAAACTTCGAATGTATCAGATTTTTTTGCGATAAAAAGGAATGGTAAGAAATTAACATCCCGAAATTTCTTTTTTTTTTTTATTTTGTTATTAAGAATGCAGAACTACCGGCGCACCTGTGGAGAGTAGAGGTAAGGCGAACTATTTCATATAGGGGGAATGTTGAAAAAATAGCAGTAAATAACAGTTCAAAAATCCTCCAAAATGGCGCAGGTAGGCAAATCTATGGTATGAATTTTGTATTAAATCGAGACAGCCCCCTAAAGTTTACAGAAATGTAGACCACGGTATACCTACTCAAATAAATTTCCATAGGGCAAACGTGTGAGTTGAAACAAAAGGGATAGTGGACAGAGGCGGTATAGACAAAAATTATTTCAAAAAAATGAAAAATTGAGAGCAAATCAGTTTCAAAGGTTTCAGACAAAAGTTCTACGCTTTCAAAAGGGAAATCAATCAGCAGCTTTGAACGTCAACTCGACCATTAAGTACAATTAAGGATCAAGTTATCCCTGTCCGCCACCCCTTTTGTTTCAAGTCATAGCCCTTTGGAAATTCAAATAAATATATCGAGTTCCATATTTTTATAAATTTTTGATCATTATCTCGAAGGCATAATTTAAAAAAATGTAGGCTACTTTCCTTTCGCCTTCTGTAACTATAGCAAACCCCTTGTTCCTTGGTGCTATCAGCTTAGAAACGTAACCCCCCTCTCCTATTATCCGAACATGTTTATCCCAATTCTCAGACTACTACGACGCATTAAGTGCATTTTAATACTCAACAGTACTTTAGCAGAAACTTATTAAGAAAGCAATTAGAAAATAAATAATTCGATTAAAATCAACATCAATTCAAACCATATTTTAATGCTGCTGCAATACATTCGTATCATTATTATCATTAAAACAGATAAACGGCTAATTTTAGTACTGATCGGTAATTTCAACTATTAAATTAAAATTAGTGTAATTTTGATAATATTTTCGATATAACCTTAAAATTCATGAATTGAAGGGGTTTTCTTTTATGAGATTATACTTATTTCATAAATCCTGGGATTATTTCGATATTAAGGACTACAAATAAATACCGGCTATTAATTACGTGAGACGTTTAGCGGGGAGAGGGTCGAGCCGAAACTCATCCCATTTCACGTGGGGAGAGGGTAAATATCACGTAATTTTTTTCCGGAAGAAACTGCGTTAAATTTAAAATCACAAATTTACGGTTTTCGAATTTCTCCCTTGTGCTATAAGAAATTTCATGATTCTGGATCAAAGAGACCTATTTCGATTTCGTTGCTAAATGCCGTATATAGCTCCGAGGTATTGCAGACCTGAGTATTTGATATTAATTTGTATTTGATACCTCCACGCGTTCCTGAGAAAAAGGCTCTTGACAAATCCTAAAAGGATTATTTTTTTCTTCTGCTTTTTCGACCTTTTTCTCGATGAATATGTTTGCTGCGCTACTTATCTAAGAAAATTTCATTTACCCTACGAAGGGTAGTGAAGAGTAGCATACGCAGCAGGGGAGGAAATAAAATTCAGTCTAAAATTTTGTTTATTGTTCCTCATTTTAGGTGCGTAATAAACTACTAATACGAAAGTATAAAGGCGTTTTGAGTTATGTGAGATTATGTACTTGCGATTTTAGATTATCAATTTTTCGGAACTCAAGGCGTCTTGAGTTCTATGGACCTTAAAATGTAGAAAGGTATGGTCTAACTTTGACCCATTTTAGAGCAAATGATAAGCTCTGCGTTGGGCACCCGTTCATGTGCAGAGAGAAAAATTACCATGTGGATGCAAGAAACATGTATTCAGAAAATTAAATATTCATTATTATCATCTTAAGGTCGTCAGTCCTAAGACTGGACACGCACCTCCTATCCTGATCTTCGCATTTCTCTGAAACTAAAAAAAACCACAACTATTTGCGAACAGTAATCTAATCTAGGTCTACCTCTATTCCTCTTAACTCCTGTTTCTGCCTCTAATATGTCTTTGACTAGATCTTTATGCCTGAGAAGATGTCCTACCAACCTATCTCGCTTATTTTTAATTGACATCCATAGAGTCCTCTATTCTCCTATTCTTTCTAATACCTCTTCATTTCTAACTATCTCTATCTACGGTATCCTCATCATTCGCCGGTATAACACCATATTTCGAAGGCTTCTAACCTTTTCTTTTCCGCCACGCCCACCTATCTTTATATTCGCTCTTTCCCTACTTTTTCTTTCCTTGCATACCAGTATTTATGTTTTACTTTTATTTATTTTCATACAATATTGTTTTATCAATACAGCTTCCATTTTATTTAAAGCTACCCTCCTTGCTAGATGCTAATACTGCTATATCGTTCGCAAATCTGAGTATACTAATCTTTCGTCCTTGTTTCCATCTTTCTCTGTACAATTCTAGTTAATATTTTTGACACATGGGAAGTTAACGCAAATTGTTCTAAAAATCTAGCAAAAATTTAATATTAGTTCAATAGCATGGTAATTTTTCTATTATCAGTCAAAGGCAGCCAGATTTTTTCTCTCTGTCTTAAGCTCCATAAGTGGTAATTAATTATGACTGGGAATTTTATAGTGTGACTTTTTTTGTGAAAAGTGTTTTTGCGTTGATGATTGTCGGAATAAAAGTCGGCAGAGTGAACTTAACAAATAATTACTTTATTTACGAAAACTATCACACTCTTCGAATGATACAGAACTTAAATCTAGGTACCTAAATAGAAATATCTACAAAAAGGGGCACAACCACTTGCCTTTGGATGACTTTCCCGCTGTTTATGGTCATGCCATTCGGTGTATAACTTTAGCAAGTGACAATAAATAGGTTTAAGTAACCTAGGACATAAAGATGTCTACAGGGTGTTGAGACATGAAATATTCGTTTACAGAGCGTAAACAAAAAGAGACCCTAAAAAGCTGTGAAAATGTGCAAGATCCGCCACTGACTTCAAGCCAATTTTAATTTGTATGATATAAAAGCGGGACAGGGTGTTGTAACGTGACGTGTTTTGACGAAGATGAGTTTCTAATTTTAAAACCAATTTTTAAATTTGAACTCACAAATTTCGTTCTTTACAATAGTTCAATCGAATTTAAATTTGTACGTAATAAAAGCTCATCAGGGTGTTGTCGTCTAGGAAATAAGCACAAAAACAAGCCACAACTTTCAAAATTTTGTGCAATGAACATAAGAGATAGATTCGTTTTCAAAAATGCATCAGTACATGAGAAAAATGCATAAGTATATTGCGAAGTTCTTGTAAAAAAAATCTTTCTCAAAAATGATAGAAATATGTCCAATTTTGCTACTCGGGGGGTTTTGAGGGTCGCTGAACACGAATATGTAGCCAGTGACGGCTTCCGAGGTACCTGGGGCCCAGGGTGACCGTCATACACGGCGTCTCCAGGAATTATGTTTTAAATCCATTAAAAATCATTTGAAATTAGTTACTGGGGGGTTTTGAGGGTTGCTGAACACGAATATGTAGTCGGTAACAGCTTCCGAGGTACCTGGGGCCCAGGGCGATCGTAATACACTCGTCTCCAGGAGTTATATTATAAATTCATTGAAAATCAATTGAAATTTGATTCTCAGGGGTTTTGAGGATCTCTTATGTCCACAATGTTTGTAGATGTTCTCACAAATCGAATGCAGAAAACCGCATCTCGATCCGACTTACTGCACAAATTGAAAGGTTCAGAGCTTTATTTCTTCGACTTAATGTGCTTTATCGAAATTATGTTTTTGCAAAATGGAAAAAAATGATTCTTAATTTCTGCTCATTTTTAATAAATCTTCAAATTTGAAAGCACAAAGCTTCGTTCTTTACAGTGGTTCAAGCCAATTTCAATTAATTAAAAGCGCATCAGGCTGTCTGAAAGTGACATGTCCTTTGATAAAAATAGATTTTTGAGTAATCCAAGGAATTGATTAGTAATTTCGGCTCCTTTTTAACCAATTGTTAAATTTGGACACGCGAAATTTGCTACGTTTTGGTGGTTCAATTCAGATTTAATTTGTATGGTATAAAAGCGCGGCAGAGTGTCATAATATGAGGAAATTGAATGAAATGTGTTGTAATTTTGACTCCCTTTTTAACTAATTTTCAGATTCGCTCTTTATAGTAATTCAAGCAGAAACAAATTTACAATAATACGGGGATACAACTGGTTCACTTTGCATTGTGTTCCTGACTCCTGGTGTTTCTCAAATTAGTGGCCTCGTTTACCAGTTGTGAATTTTTGGTAAAAATTACTAGGAATGTTTTAATTTGTGTTTTATTTTTGTTGCCCCCAAAAAGTTTACGCATCGATTTCCGAATTTCCAAGGTCCACCACTGATATGGCTTCGGCTCTTCTATTATATTATTATTATTTGTACTCAAGTTTCCATTCAATTTTCTAACATTTTCTTCTTTCGTTTCAGGGCTGTGGCTCATTTGAACGGCATTCAAGTAGAGGGGAATCCGATTAAAGTGGAGCTGGCGCTGGATAAGCGACCTGTTCGCCGGGGTCCTCGAGGCGGTCCTGGCGCAGCCGGCTTCGGAGGACTCCCGGGTCAGACCCGCCCGACCGATTTCCCCTTGCGCATCCTTGTACCTAGTGATATGGTAAGTTCATTACAATCCTACTTGAAACATGATTACCACGAAGCCACATTATTTGGTGTAATTGGTATCCTATCGAAAAACGAATAAACATGTAAAAAATTAGAAAGTTTTATTTAAAAAATATAGTTCTAAAAAGAAATGGTTTTGCTAATAACGACGTGTAAGCTCAAGTTTTTAATCAGCGGCGGACATAACGTCTTCATTTAAATTAAACACTAATTATAGGTGCTAGCAAACTGTCATAAAACATGCGAAATAAGTAATAGAAAAAAAGGGGGCGAGCGTGTATTGAAGAAGTAAAACTTCTTTAGATTGTATATTATAGTAGTATAAAAAAAAAACCAAGCTATTGCATTAAGTAATTACTAAACACCAGAAGAATACAACTTTATTTCGATCAGACGAATGCGGAATATTTGTTTGGTTTTGTTAAAAACTTTTACGCTTGCACCATACAAAATTGCAGAGAGAAATTATAAAAAAAAAACAAACGCATATACAGTACAGTGTAGGCGCGATCTGCTAACAATTTGTCGACATAACAATTTTGTATTATCGGTTACTACTAACAGGTTAGCATCTGAAGCCTGTTAAAATGACTCCTTTTGGACATATCCACCAGGGGTCACACCTGTGCTCGTGACGCAGTGACACGTGACGTAACACTTTTCGGTTTTATACCCTTTTAAATTTTTTTCCTAGCGTCGATAAAAAAGTTTCACTTCAAAAAGAAATACGTAACAATCGTGAACCGAAGCCTAAATACTTTCAGTATAAAGAGGTAAATGATCAAAAGTTTGTTTTATTGTAGTTTATTTTTAAAAACGTGTCGTTTGGTGGCATGGTATACTACAGTTTAATACTGTTTCTTATGGAACTATTCGAGACATCAGGGGCGGATCCACGATGGGGTGTACAAGATCTTCTGCCCTTTTTGTGGATAATCCTTTATCCGATAAAATTTCTAAAGATACACATGTGCTTATCAAATTGGTGACTAAATAAAAGTCCAATGATTTTGATTTGAGTATTTATAAGCTTAAATCCACCATAAACAAATGTTTCTAATATTACTTTGACATTTACTAGTTACTTGGTTCCACCTAGAATTAATTTCTGATCATCATTAGATCCTGGAGCCTATAAAAAGTAGCATTGTCGTCACAGAGTATGTACCACTCAACACTTAATGACCAGAATGAATTATAAAATTTGAACCTGAAAGAGATGAATACATGAATGCTAAATAAAAGCTTATAATAAAACATAGGAATACGTATTATAGATACTATTCTTTGTGTTTTGTGATCCAATCCAAAATTTATTATACTTAACAGTAATTCTTTCATTGATGCAATCAATTGCAATTTTGTGTTACATACCTATTCCATTTTAGTTTTTCTAAAACACTCGATAACTCTAAGTAGATACAGTGATTTAATATGCTGTTTTATATATAACTGTTTCATTTATTATAAATCAAAAAAATGATAATTACAGTAAATTTATTTTGTAAGAGAAATAAATCTCGGAAAATCGTTGATGATGGGCCATGTTCGCAAATAAGGGTGTTGAGGGGTATTGCTTAGCGTAGGCGGTATGGAAGGGGGGAAAGGGGGTCTGAGGAAATTGGGACGTCGCAGGTCATCAATTTAATTTTTTTTCATACTTGGCAGTTCTTAAAATTTTTCATTAGGATAGAATGTCATGTTTAAAAGTCTGTAAATAAACATATGTCTGGATTTTGTAATGGTTTATAATTTTTTTGTGATTTGTTTGAAAAATCAAAAATTGATTATTTTGTCAAAGAAATCACAATTTTTTTGTTTTTTTTTTGGTAAATCTAATTTTGGCTAGTTTTTATGTTTTTATTGATATACTAGGCTTTACCTGCGGCTTCGCACGTGTCCTAAATACGTGTCAAAGACCATCGACGACTACATAAAAGTAATTTTTCTATCCCTCAGGAACAGTATATATTTTATGGATAAAAAGTACCCATTGTGCTTTTTAGTAATCATGACAATGTGTGCACACAATTTGATGATGATCGGTTCAGTAGTTACGGAAGAGGGGAAATCTTCAAACGACACCCGCCACACACACTACGAGAAGTTACAAACAAGTTTAAACTTAAACTGTGAGAAAAAATGGTTTTTTATGTTTTAATTGCTTGCACAGCAAAATGCGCTACGGCGATAATTTGATGATGCATGTAATAGCAGGTGTACAATAGGTATACCGTGAGATAATTAGGTTCTACTTCTTTTATGAATAAACATATTTTTAAGTGTCGAACTTTTTTTTTAATAAATCAAGATTTTATTTCCAAAAACATCATGTTTACTTAATCATGTCTAACCATACATACAAAATATAAGTCATCCCTTTTCATAGGGATTTCAATTAAATGTATGTGGTAGTTTCATGAACCCATGTTTACTAAACTTATTTTTTCTTTAGCAAACATATATCTTCTTTTTATAGTCATGTGCATCTACATTTCTACATACATTTTGTTTAAAAATGGAGATTTTTAACCAGTACTGAAACCTTGAAAATTATTATAATTGTATGTTTTTATTATTTAATATTACAATATTTAAATGAAAGAAAATTTGAAATAATGTGTGTATTGTGCTAAGCGATATTAACCTAAATGACAACGGCTGGTGTAA